TTATGAGCATGACCTCCACAAACTGCAAATCGCTATCACCTTCGTATCGCCATAAATACTCAAATAACTTCTGGCCTTAACCGCAACCGCCCATGTGAGACTACAGACCACGCTACTAGAAGGCATTGCGGTCTCTCACCCACAGGGTCACAAACGGTGGTCCGTGAATTATTTTAGTAGTCGATATTTGTCAAGTCATCTTCAGAGATCAACACCCAAACCCTAGAAAAATTTGTTAGGGTAGTTCTTATTTGCGTTTCTGTTTAATCTTTACCTCTCGAAGCTCCCACAACCACTAAACGAACCCGAGCCCCATTCGATGACGATGGAGTCGATTTCGATTACGAGGTACAAGTTACGAAGCCAACTGAGCTATTCAAGAATGGCGGCGAGTAGCTGATAAGATACATGTATCAACTCCTATGCAGAATATGGTCAAATGAGCGCATTCAGCTTTCTAAGCATAGTTTACAAGATCTTGTCGAGCGTATTGTGTGAAAGACTTAAGCTCACCATCAACAAACTGACTGGGCCTTATCAGTGCGTCTTTAGACCTAGCAAACCCGTCATAGATCAGGTATTAACAATACGACAAATCTTGAAGAAGACTCGCGGCACATACTATCTATTTATCGATTTCAAAGCCGCTTACGGCAGTACCAAAATAAGTTGTCTTTGTTCCGCGATTTCTGAATTTGGTATCCCCGCGAAACTAATACGGCTGTGTAAAATGACGTTGAGCAATACGTCCGCCGGAATTGGGAAGCATCTCTCCGCTAGGGTTGCCAGACCTAAAATGCCGAAAGGAATACAGATAAGAAGAAATTGGGGGATTTGGGGTACAACTGAGAAAGAAAAAAGGGTATCTTTTGGGGGACAAACAAGGCTAAATGCATTCAACAAAAATGTATTTATTCGCGTATGGAACAACAAAACCGCTCGAAAATAAAAATTCTATATCATTCAATTACAAATATTTTTCATGCTTTAGCCAAAAACATAAAATTAATTCAAAGTTTCTAACTTAATATGAACTCTATCAAAATGCAACAAATTTTCAAATAAAGCTTGGCATTTTTAATCTGAATTCGTGGATATGCAGTCACATGGCTAAAGTTTTATGTGGATAGAAACCGCATAGATCTTTGATACTTCTTTGCTGATGGTTTTTTCCATGCAAAGATGAATTTGAAGAAAATGTTCAAGAACGTTTGCAAAAAAAAAATTTAAATCCACGTCAATTTTTATAAATTGCACTTCTTATATGAAAAAGCGCTGTTTAAAACTTGCACTAATTTTGCTAAAATTTCATGGGGCATGTAAACAGTTCAAAATTTTGATGGAAATTTATTGAATTTTTCTAAAATTTGTATTAAGTTTGCAAGTTTGATTGATGCATGTATTTGGTTTTGTTTAAAGCATAAATATTATTTGTATAAAAATTAACAAAACAATTAGCTTGAAATACATTGTAGATATTTGAAAAAATCACTATTCACTCAGTGTTCATCGCCAGTGTATTTACACAGAAAATATATGTACATATACATATGTATGTATGTATACATATTTAGCCTAAAATATGGCATACGAATATTTTCAAATAAAAATCATACTTTTCATTCAACTTTTATTCCACTAATGGTCTGTACAAGACAAACACGCTTTAAGAGAAATGTGAGGCGATTTCGGGTAAAAATGGGGGACCTACGCAACCTTCCGTAGCAAGGGGGGACAAAAAGCCAAAATGGGGTATGTCCCCCCTAATGGGGTACGTCTGGCAACCCTACTCTCCGCGCCGAGTGAAATGACGGGAGGTTTCAGAAAGGGATACTCCCTTTTGTGTGATATCTTTAATCTAAACCGCTCAGGCGCAATACTTTACATGAGCGCACAATTGCTGGCATACATATGTCGACGGCATCGACTTTATAGATAATACTGTACGTCAAAATAAACTTTTTTCTGGGTATTGGACCAAACCATTTTTTTTTAAGAGATTGAGTCTTAGGTAAAAAAGTGATTTCTCCGTTTTTTCGAAGTTAGCCTCCGAAATAGAGATATGGGCCTTCGAAGTTCGAAATAGGGCCTTTGGTAAAAAAATATATTTAATTATTGCATGTAAATAACTAAAAATCTAAAAATATAGACTGAGGACTAAGCTCTTATTTAAATGGTATATAACTTTTTTTGTGCAAACTTATATTACAGGTGCTATAACGGGTCAAAGTTCAGGTCTTCGAAAAATTAAATTCTTTATATTGAAAACAATTTTGAACTGATTTAAAAAAAATTTATCTCCTTTCTTGCGATTTGCATATTTGTATGCTTCGTATATAAAAATTTTAGAAAAAAAACATTTAAATTAAAAAATACCTTTTTTATAAAGAAAAATATTTTAAACAAAAAAATTACCAACCGATTTTTAAACAATTGGTACCGTTGTAAAGGTGATTAAACCTCCTTTCTACTGATATGCATATTTGTATACTTCGTATATAAAAATTTTATAAAAACTTACAAGGAAGAAATACTAATTTTCTAATTTTAGAATATTGAATACTTTATTTAAATATAAACAGAAAATTGCCTTTAATTTTTATATAGAACCTGTTATGTAAAAAATCAAAAACCATGGTGTTTATATATTTTTTTATGCCTTAGGTTTCTGTTACATATACTTTTGCTTTATTTTTAACAGGGCTGTGGTTGAACAAGAACGAATTAATGCTTAATACACGAATAATTATTTGTTTTATTTAAATACGGGCGATTTTGGACTGAGTAGGCAATTGAGAAGTAAAGTCCTCTCGTATAAAAACCACACTCTATAAATCGCTCGTCATGGCCGTGCTAATGTATGGCGCGGAGGCACGGACAATGAAAACAACTAATGAGGCGTCTCTGGAGTTTTCGAGAGAAAGGTTTACGGGCCTTGCGCGTTGGCGCATATAAAACCAGTTGTCTACTCTTTTGGGGTCCTCAAGTCTCTCGCCAGCAGCACTTGGGACGAAGACTAAGAACATTGCTGCTGGCAACATACAAGGGAATTGGCCGGCCGTTTCGGAACTATGCTGCACCTGTTTAGTCGCCGGGGACAAATTTGACGCAGTGGACGATGCTACAGACTTATCAGAACGCACACTCCGAACAGCGACAGGATATCTCTTGGTGTCGGCTGACACACCTGCACAGCGATGCCCAAATGCTTCCCTTAAGGGAGCATAACAAAGTGGCCAGCAAGCAGTTTCTGGTGTGATGTCATAGACGTCAGTACCCCAACAAACCCTTGCTATTCGAATACATACCATGCCTCCCGACCTATAAATACCGTGATCGTAACCCAATCACCAACTCCAAACTCGCCCCAAAGTCCGTAATGAGAGTCCGGAATGTAGAGGCTCCCCGCAAGACACCAATCACCTCTTCGCATTCCAACCAATCCCCCAGAACTAACACCCCTCTCCCTTTGGTCCTACCCGCTCGAAACAAACCGTTTCTTTAGCCTACCGTTTGTTGAGCTTTACGACAATGATTGAAGGATGAACTTAAATATGCGGGGCTTTGTAGTGCCGCTACAACAATAACAGCAAACTAGATGGGGCCACAAAACGATATTGAGGACAAACACATTAGTTCTGCTGACCAAGTAAAAATCATCTCTATATTTCGGCTGTTAAGCTACCAGTTGAGACGCTACAATGGCAACAAAAAAGAAAGCCCTCTTAGATATTTTCGCCGATTCGATTTGGATTTAGAAATATTTCGATTAGGAACATTGCATAAACGCCTTTAATATGCTGACTAAAAAATACTTAAATTCTTAAATTAAAGTTACATCAAAATTTTAATTGATTTTTTTTCTTCTTCTGATAGGCCACTTCAGTTTGGTTGCTAGCTTTGATCAAAAACTGTAGTCACCGTCCTGCTGTGCTCAAAAATAAAGAAATACTGCAATTCGCGTTCACTGAACTGCTCTCCGATGACAGCGGTATGTTCCAAAATTCGTCTTTGAGCTGCAATACGTATCTTTCAATATTAATTTTTGTCGTGTATAGAATTTGTGCAAGATGTTGCATCGCGCGGCTTGGGACTGGTCTACTCACTATCTGACCCCAATAGCCAAAATGATTTGGCCAATTCACTCTTGGATCAGCTAATCGGTGGTAAAAGACAAGTGAACAAAGTCAGTGAAGATACTGAGCTTTTCGCCGAGGGCATGTTGGGCAAAACGCCTACTGGGTAAGTTCGCGTAAACAATAAAATTGAAAATTTCTTAATTAAATACAACTTTTGTACTACCTCTCTTCAGTGGCAACATTACCACTTACAAAGAACTCTGCTCGCTCGCCTCCGATCTCAATCAACCGGAAATGGTATACCAATTCATGCAGTTGGCTAATCATAATGCCGCTTGGACCAGCAAATTAGGTGCTGCATTCGGTTTGAAATCGATAAGCGCCGATTCCAAAGCTAAAATGCAGCCATACTTGGGCAAGATAATACCGCGCTTATATCGCTACAAATACGATCCAACACCGAAAATACAAAACTCAATGATTTCGATTTGGGATTCGGTGGTTAGCGATCCAAAAGAGGCGGTTGAGAAGTATTACTGGGAAATTTTAAAAGAAATTCTCGACAATTTAACATTCACCGAGTGGCGTGTGCGCATTGCTTGCTGCTTAGCCGTGCGAGATTTGTTGAAACGGCCGAATGGTTTGCGTTTACGCAGCGATGAAAAGAAGCTGGATGCTATAAGGCAGAACAAAAATACAAATGAGGCGGATAAAAGTGGCGTAACAGCTATGGATGTGGGTGAGTAACTTGTTGGGAGACTGAATATTGCATTAGTGCGATTTAAAAAATATGCTTGTACTTAATTGTAGATGAAATTCCCGAACCTGAACTGCGTGAACTTTGGGCGCAACTATTTCGTGTGATGGATGACATACACGAAGGCACACGTTTGGCAGCACAAGGATCTGTTATGTTTTTGAGCAAGGTATACTTTTCGAATGTTTGTTTTAACCCATTGGAAGGATTGTTGTTTATCTACTTATATCTACTCTAGCTTTGCGTTTCGGCTGCTTCATCAGATCACGGTAAATCTGGTCTGGCTGTAGCCTCTTCCATTTTACCTTTGCTACTACAAACTGGTGTTACACATACCGTTGCGGATATACGTAAAGTCAGTATTCGCACGATTTCCGAAATGATTGACTCATCAGGCTCCTTAATTGAGCCACATCTACCCTTGCTTATACCATGTCTACTGAAAGCTACTGGCGAGGTGGAGAGCTCTAAGCTATCGTATTTGTCAACGCGTTTAGGTGCTGATAATGAGGCGCAAGAGGCTGTCGACACAGTGCGCGCTGAGGCCGCGAAGTCGCATCACACAATGGAATCGATATCAAAGGTAGGAATGCTGGAGAATAATAACGAAAAAAATGTAACGAAATGTTTTCCATTCTACGCAGTGCATGCGCTATATAGACTACAAAGTGCTTGAAGAGATGACCCCTAGCGTCTTAGAGTTGATTAAAACGAATATTATTCTAGGCACCAAGATAGCGTGCGCCCATTTCGTCTGCTTGGTACGTTAATTGTAGATTTGAATTGGTTTTAATTGCAACTATTAACGAAATTTTCATTTTTATTTTAAATTTATTTGTATTCATTCAAAATCATGCAGATAAGCATTCGTGTTGGTAAAGAAATGTCGCCGCTTGTGGGTAAGTACCTCGCCGCTTGTTTTGTGGGCTTAAAAGATCATAATGCCACCGTGCGCAAATATTACGCAAACGCAGTGGGTCATTTGGTGGGCATTGCAAAGGTGATTTACCCTGGATAAAGTGCTGAAGTTTTAAAACTTAATACATTTAAACTCTTACACAGGAAAAGTCAATTAAAAACTTGTTTGTCAAACTCGATGAGCTATATATGGAAAATTCTTCAAATCGCTCCGTCGCAATCACCATACAGGCAATTAATAAGCGCCATAATGACTTGTTAAAAGACTACTTGGATGATGTATTGCCACTGGTATTCTTTGCCAAGCACGAGGAAGCCAACGATGAGAACAAGTCGAATATTGAGCTGTGGAAGGAATTGTGGAACGAGGTGAGTCCAGGCGATGCTGGCATACGCATGAATTTGCACGTGATCATACCGAAATTGGAGAAGTCGCTGGACGAAGCCAGCTGGCTGCGTAAGACACAGGCAGGCAATGCCATACACACGATTGCCATGAGACTTAGCGGCACCATCGAGGAATCGGATCGTCTACGTTTAATCAATTTGCTGCTCAGCGAGTTGCAAGGTCGCACTTTCAAGGGTAAGGAGCGTTTATTGCAGGCTTTAGCAGCATTGTGCAAAGGGCTCGATCGTCATCATGAAGTCACTGTACGTATTTTGGATGCCGCCATGCGCGAGAGCCGCAAGGAGGAGCCACAGTATCGTACGTTGGCGCTGCATGCGTTGGGCGATATACTAGAGGAGCTGGAAGTGGATCGCTTTGAAGAGGTGAAGCAATATCAACGCGCTTGAAAAGTGTAACAAAGCAAACGCGCAACTAAATTATTTACTTAATACTTATTAGGTTTACGATATGACTTGGTACTTACTCGAAGAGAAGGAATTGCGCAAAGATGATAGTGAAGTGGTTGGTGAGAAGAGTTTAACCGCCGATGAGCGCAACAAGCGCGCGACTATTTTCAATAAATTGAAGGAGACGGTTTGCGAGACACTGGGCAAGTCTTGGCCGAAAAATGGCATCGAAACGCAATACAAGTATCAGTTGCTATTTGTGGAACGCTGCTTGTTGTGCTTGCGCAGCAGCACGCGTCCCGTGCAGGTGAGCCTCCTGGGCGCATTGTGTAAGTTCGTTGAGCGTTTAGGCGTATTTGCAAGCGACAGCGTACCACCCATGCTGGAGGGCAACAAGGAGAAGAAGGTGAAAATGGACAATTGCGAGACGCGCGATGCGATTGTAGAGAAAATCTGCAATCAAGTATTGTCAGCGGTTATTTATGCATCAGGTGTGTAAAGCAAGGATGAAGGTACAACTCGATTTCTTATGAACGAAATTCGTGTTGAGTTTTTTTATATATACATATATATATATGTTATATATTTTAAATTCTATATTATATATGTATTATATTATATTATATTATATATTTTATATTATATTTAGGGGATTCACAAGACGTGTTAACCGTCGTAAAATCTTAA